GCTTCCGGTGAGAACATTGCATCCAAAAGCCCTGGAAAAGCTTTTGCAAGATGAAGAAACTCTGCAGAAAACTGAGTGAGTTCTCTTGTACCAAATTCGAAAAAGCGAATGTGAATAACGAAAAAAATATTTCAATAGCACTATCATATGAATGATCTATTGACTCGACCCAGAAATAAAGGACTCTTGATCCGAACATTCATTTTTCAACTTGATGAAATCAATAGTAGCGAACACAAGTCGTAATGCTATTTTAGTTTCGCACTGTAAGAGCGCTTGAAACTGAGGCACGAAATATATCTGAATTCTGTTTTAATCAAAATCATTTTGTTCCGCTTTGCTTCCTATGTAATGGGTTGTGCATTTGATTTTTTTTTTAATTTCACTGCTGGTAAAATCAAAATATGTAAAACAGAAGTTTAATTAGTTTGCCTGTTTCTGGCTGCGGATTTTACATAATCTTAAAGCGTGTAGAACTTAAATAACCGCCTTCGGGGGGTTTCAAGCAAGTTCAATAAAAAAAATCCAAAAAAGTGATACTGAATCATTTCACTTAAAAAAATGTGCAATGCAGCTTAAATACATGAAGTCTATACTGAAAAAGTCGTAGAAAACAGGGGTTTGATGTGAATTTTCCTTCCAAGGGTGTGGATTGCAGGTTTTTTTTTTTACATTGCGTCTATTGCAAAAAATCTCGTTCAATCTTTTCCAGAAAAGATAGTGACAAATTCCTCTTCTTGATATTTTTAAAGCGTCTGTGGTGCAGCAAACATTGAATTAAATATTCCTCGAAGGATCATGTAAATCTAAATATGTTACACATATTTTCAAAGACTATATTAGATACAAGGCCTCGGTTTTCAAAATTGCTTTCCTTGTCCTGGTCGGAGCAGTTAGCATCAGCACCATGACATCGTATAATAAATTCAAGCACAAATTTATGTTCCAATAAAATTCAAATGATTTCCCATTATTTTCCCTATCTAAATAAAAGGAATCGATGCCATTCCGATTGTCTTCTCGAAGAAGATAGTCCAAGAACAGCGTTATCTTTACAAGAAGGCGAGAAAGTGAGTGAACAAGCATCTGAGTCGATTTGCCAAACTGAAAAAGTGAGCAAAAGCAAGCGAAGAAAGTCAGTGAATGACGAACGGAACAAAGGTGGAGAAACAATAGCAATCTCGTGAGTTTATAAACATTCAATTTTTTGGAGGAGGAAATGTTTTAAAAACCAAGATTAATTATTTCCCGTTCCTTATTTTCTTACATCAGTCAAAACCGCGAGACCATGATCAAAACGCGACGATTGAAAAATAATGCGACGGGTTCATCTGATTACTGCAGTGCATTCGATCAGTGAGCGACTATTTTTTTTTTCCTTTTCAAAGAAAAATAACCTTCTTTTCAAAGAAAGAAGGTTATTATTTTTCTTTCAAGTATTTTTTTTTCAAAGAAAAATAACCCATAACATTTCCTGTTTTCTTTTGTTCGTCATCGAAATTCGTTCACTTCGCGTTTTCCTTACTTTCCTTCCGCCATTTTCTTCCCCAAAAAGAAACGTGAATGTTTGTGCCGTGTCTATGTTGAAAGTTTCCCGGACAGAGGAAAGCTCATCAAGGATGAGAACCTGGGGAAGATACCCGGAAACTTGAGCCCCATGGGATCCCTTTCCAGTAACCGGTTGTCGTCCGACTCTGAACTTGCGTGGCAACTTGCCACGTTCCACCAAAAGAGCAGGTATATACGAATGTTTGAGGGAAGCATATAACCCAATTACTTCATCACTAGTATACTCCATTCATTTATTATATATACATTTTAACCTGCTTTGGAAAAAGCTTTAATTTCTGAGAGCGAATTTTAATTCATTTTCTGCTGTAAAGGCAGAGAATTCGAGAAATTTTCCTTCGAAAAATGATGCATTTTTTCCTGTAATATTTTAGATTTGTCATCACTTGGACTGGTTTTTTTTTCATTTCTTTGCGTCCAGTCGGATTTTATGTTGCATCAGGTTCTATTTATTTGCCAAGCCGAAATTTTCCTTTGCATATGCCGACCTTCCATATGAATTTCTAAAATTTTTCGGACTGTACTCAAATATTGATTTTATTCATGAAAGATGGAAATTATAGTCATGTCACTTTCTTTTAGATTTTTCAAGAGCTCGCGAAACTAGAAAAAATCTTGTTTGAGTTCTATTCAATCTTTTCAGAAAAATGAATATTTTCAATGTAAGTTCAATGTGAAACTGGTTATTTAGAATAAAAATGCCCCTGCATTCCTGCAATATATATATATATATCCTATTACACTGGCATATTACGGCTATGAATAATACCATATATACTGTATATTCGTAGCCATAATACGAGCCAATATAACGGGAAAAATTAATTTGACATGTTTTTTTCATTGAATTGTTCAGTTGGGAGACATGCAGTAAGAAATCTTTATACGTCTTTTATTATGTTCTGTGGGAAGATTTTCTGAGGATTTCGCAAATAATTTGATTTGTTTCATCCAAGGGGGATTCATGGTATAGAAGGACATCCTCCGAGACATACAATCGGTTTGCCAAACAAGTGGGGATTCATTGATTCAATTGATCAATTGGCTCGGGTAACAACTACCAGCAGCAGCAGCTGTGAATGCAATGACTGTCAAAGAATATCCCAATCATTTGTCAAACCTAAAGCTGTGACTGTTCCATTATTGTCTTCAGCCAGTTCCGAAAGTGGAAACAATTTTGAATCGTAAGTAACTCTGTACGTGTTACTTGACCAGGAATCCAGGGTCGCTAATCTAAACTTTGCAGAATTTGATTTTTCATTGAATGAAGCCTTTATTACTGATCAGTAGAAGGGTCCAAGCTTGACAAGTTATTTGAGAAAAATAGACGAGAGTTCCTTCCAAAAATTTCATTCATTGATTGATTGATTAAGTAACAAGATTTATTTTCCGCTTGTCAGTGTTCACAAGGTTCAAACAACGTTTCCCACATTCAAACCCCCTATATTTTGATTCACCTTCCCTGGTCTGGTTCGGTTTTTTCGCGTGACTTTTTTCATTCCTCGTATTTCTATGAATGTTTGCTGAAGCATTTGCGATTAAATTAATACAGTAGTACCAATTATATAAAATGTATTCATCTAATGTTCTCTATAATAGTGTCCTTTCGAATGTCGACGACTCTTCGAATCCAGAGAACACCAGTAGTCAATCGTCTTCGCGAAAGACTACCGTCATCCGAACTACATTTGCGAGGTGAGAAAAGCTATATGAGAGTGAAAGAATTTACATGGTGGGCCAAAAAAAAAGTTAACCGATTTTTGAATGAAAATAAGGCGAAAGAAAATCGAGCTACATCACTGAAAAAAAAAAACTGAAAGCTTTTTCAATTTCCTTTCATGTGGTACATGGTTTTTTGGTCCTAAAAGTGTTATGTCCTGGTCACAAAAACTATTTGAATGAAAACTTTCAAAAAAGTCTATACTTCGGCGGTCTTACCTCGATATTTTTTCAACACTTATTGACTGAAGAAATTCAATACAAGGTCTTTAGGGTGTGGTTTGAAAGCAGAAGCCCTTCTTTTATAGACAATATTCTGTTGAATATAATCCCCGTTATAAGGAATGCAGTGAACTATAAAATTACTTTAGTGTTCCATTAAATGCATAAATCCGATTCAGTAGATGATTTTCAAGGTTTCGAGGTTGATCGCTTGTGATGCTTCACATAAACGAATAGGGAATTTTAATATTATTTTCCAGATTAGAGCAGCAAACTTTGAAACTTGGTTTGACTTTGTATTTTCATGTGGAGTACTGTTCTGTTGAATTTGCGAATTTAAATTAAAACGGTACACGTGTTTCACCCAAGGTATGCATCACATCCAGATAGATCGAGAGCTCAATTTTTCACGAAGCATTACTTTATAATTATGCATCATTTTTTATTAGTAGGAGTATTTTGCGCAAGAAAACAAAAGAGGTGCCATCTCTGGAAAGCCAAGAATCCCTGAAATACGTTCGAATGCTGGATGCAGATTCTGGAGCAAACCTTCCAGCTCTGAGGTATATTTACTTTCAGTTCGTTTTTTTCTTTCAAATGTGTAATCCTATTTTAAATTTAAATTAGCCACAGTGCCGAGAANTTTTTGCGAGGAGCAGTGGACCAATTTTTGCGGCAAGCTAGATGATTCATTTAGAACTTCCGGGTCGATGAGCGGTCAACGAATCACCAATCGTGACGACTACCATTTGATGTAACATTTTGAAAGTTTAAATTTTTTATGTTATGTTACTTGAGAATTTTGTTCATGCAGGTTTGAAGGGGTTGGAGAGCAAGAGTTTTCGTCCAATTCCACCTTTGAAGTTTTCAGTCAAAAGTATGTGGAATTTACTTGAATAATCGCGCAGCTATTCATTTTCAAATTGACAAGGAATTGATTCGATTCTGATTTTCTTTGTATAAGAAAATAGTTTTTAAATTACGTAATTGGGCGTTGACTGACCATCTAGATTAATGTTCCGATGATCATAAAAGATCAGAATCCGTGTTTGGAATGATTCGCTAAATTTTCCAGAAAATTCCAGTCCAGTGGTTATATGTTGTTTTTTTGTTGTTCAAAATTCCAGCATTAGAGCTGGAGCTTGATCAATTATTTAGGCCTTGAAAATAAAGAAGGAATACAATAGGGATAAGAAAATACTCGTGCAGCAAAAGACGTTCCGGCCTGAACTTCTTAAATTGCGGTCCGTGTGATTTGTGTTTCTCCTCTAATATTTATTTTTTTCATCTTCGCTCATTTCTGAAGACGCACATATTTGATGCGACATTTTAAAATTTTGAAGCTCTATCATTTTTAAATGTCCGTGTTTGACAGTGGACGAACGATTTTCTAAAACAAAATCTTCAACTTTGAGGATTAGAAAAATTGAATTAAATTATATCTATTAATTATTATCATTAAAAAATAAAATATATATAATCTATTATTAATCTTGTCTATTTTTTTGGAAAATGGCGGAGGACTAGCGACTCTTTCTCTGTGGATGGAAAAATCTCCTTGTCAAAAATTGAAGCCACCACGGGGTCCACGAATAGAAGCAGAAGCGGCCGTTGGATCGATCCGAAACGCATTACAGTGACTCGACAGGAAGCGTCTCCTGCTGATATCGACTCGGATACATTCTCGTGAGTCTAGACTGTGAATAAATGTTACACGGAAAATAATTTAAAGTGATATTTTTTCCCCTGTTCAAGACCAAACGACGAAGAGGAAGAACCGAGACCGAAAACAGTGGGATTCGAATACTGGTTCTGAGCATGCCTGATATGGCAAGACAAAGTTGGAGTCATTGATTGCGGAATTTTAGAAAAATATTGGATGGCAATTTGGAACCTTTTCTTCTGTGTAATTCTCATGTCATTTTTTATTCCTTTTTCGAATTTTGGGTACTTCATACTGATTTTCTTCCCTCGACTCATGCAATAAAATCTCTACCGTGAAGTTACATGTGCTGATGTGATCAGTATCAATTACAGTATCCCCATCAGTATTGATACACGAATAATTCTGAATTTTTTCCATTTGACATATTTTTTGCAAAAAATGAAGAATGAGAATTCAAACGCTTTTCTAAATCCTGTCCTGCATGCAATCTACCTGGTTTAGCTCACAATTTAAATTGCCAACCCTCATCATGCAATTCAAAGGTTAAATTTGCTGGGAGGTTGACTCGCAATTTGGACTCTGTCCCACAATTCAACATGCAGAAAGTTGCTGAACATCAAATGCAACGTGGAAAACATTTCTGAAGTTGTGTCACAATTGGACTGTTCTGAAATTTGACACTGACCATGTCCAGCAATAGATTATAGTGTCAAATTTCAGGGTACCACCTGAATTCATAGTTTTTAGTTTAAGTATTAATGAGTTAGAGTTATTAGTTACTTCATAACTTAGATATTTTCAGGTTCCACAAACATGAATCAAACCACAAATCTTCATGCAGTAAAAAGGAACAGATCATAGCATGAGTTTATACTGTATCCAAGCATACATTAGTGAAAATAGCCTAGAAAAATTAATTTAAAGCTATAATTAATTCATAGTTATGGATGTTCATATATGTTGTACTGTATTATGATTTCATCAAAGTTTTAGATCTTTGCTGCTTGGATCTCCATGCATTTTTTAATCTTTTCAAAGTTCACACATTTCCTATCACTGAAGACATGTACAGTATCTTGGAAATCCCAAATGGAAAAAAGTAAATATTCCCCAAGAATATCTGAACTATTCAAATTAATTTTTCCATAACACACTGTCTTCAGATTCCTTCAAGCATTCCTGGGCCACAGGAATATATTCCTGTATGTTGTCAATTTTCCTTCCATTTGAAAAAAAAAGACATTTTATTTCCAACATTTCCTCATAGTATGGTCAGAAAAAAGAGGATATGCGCCGCTTCCGAACGAAAACGAAAAGAAATAGCAAAATTGAGTTTCTCATTCTCTCTGCTGTTGCACTTCGGAATCTTGCAACGTGGCCCTGGACACCGTGATCAGTTTCGTCTGAGTATCCTCCAAGGTGCCGGAAGCAGTTGGAGAAACCCCGGGTCGAGACGCGGACACGGTGACTCGCTTAACCCGCTTCCGGTTCTGGTACCGGATGTTGATCCCGCCAGCACTGGAGAACTCCACCAGGAGCTTGTTGGAGCTGCTGGGCCTCATCACCAGCTGCTGCTGCTGCTGCTTCTTCCGGTCCCGGGCCTGACACGCGACACCAGCGTCGGCAGATGATGAGGGAAACGCAATGAGGACGCCAACGCCGCCTTCGCCCGAGGCAGAGTGGAGCCTGAACTTCCGGCACTTGCTGCTGGCGGCGGTCAGAGGGCCGGAAGAGAGCAAATGCAATTCCTGCGGGTGACTGCTGTCGACTCGTTTCTGGGACACGGCCAAGTTGCGAGACTTGCTTTCCTGCGACGGGAAATGGGAGGATGATATCCCCACGTGTAAAATTCGAATATTCATATTTGACAATTCAAAGTGTAATATCGTTGTGGTACATATATTAAAAAAAAAAATATATGCGCCTTACTGGTACAGTAATATTGTAACTATTTATTGCACAAGCATTAATGTCAGTACTGTATTTTATGAAGAACATATTTGACGGGAAAATAGCTTCTGAAATTAATCAGTGCAAGAGTTCCCGACCATGAACAATTCTAAAGCGATCTTGTACTTCCGGGTTAAGTTAAAATATACTTTATGTGGGAGTTTCTTATCAGACCCAAAGCGGCAAGTTTCACTGATGGGAACTCCGATTAGATGCTTGGCTTGGGATTTAAAAATGCTATTTTCAGAAATTAATGACCGATACGATCCCAGTTATCCGTTACACTGCATTTACTGTACAAAAAAAGGAGATAACATTTTGTGGCTTGTATATATACAGGAAATTCACGGCGCAGAAGGAAATTGTATTCGGCTTCCAAAGCGAGCAATTTCCTGGGTTCCGCCTTTTGCGTATATGCACAAAGACCCACGGTAGGCCAAGGGTGACAGTTCTAACCCACCGCCTGTTTTTCCTATCCCAAGCGAATTCGAATTGCGTTGACCATTTCATGAGATTTTCAAAAAATTTATAAATTTTTTTTTAGAATTTTCGGAGCACCTTCCATTAATTTATTGAATTTCACTTCCGGTGCAGTTGTGCTTCTCAAGTTGAATGGGGTCGACATTTAAAAAAGAACGAGGAAGAAAATTCTGGTGCAATAATTGCTGTAAGAAAAAGATTTTAAACCTTTCAGTAAAAAATCTGTCAAATCACATTCCGTTTTCGTCTCATACTTGGGTTTTCCTTATTTGCAAAGCACAATTGATAATTTATTTCCTTCACATCTGGAAACTTTTTTTTCCTTTACTATAGTAAAAAATGGAGCTGTATGTGAATAGTGATGTGAATTTTCATAAAATACTGATGCGATCGACGCTTTCAATAACACATGCCTGTCTTGAATCGTGCATTTTACTGAGAAAATTAAACACAATTAAATACAGTATACCATTTATGAAGACAGTGGAGCGAAAAAATAACCAGAAGTACTCACTTCCAAAGTTATTTCAGATCTTTCAAAAGGATCAATGAACCGTTTTGTAACAGGAACCAAGTGCAGAGGTAAACGCACGGGAACCGATGCTCCACAAGTGTACCTGTACGCCAAATGTGCCGCAATTGCAAATTCTTGCACATCGTACCGTCCATCGCCATCCACATCAGCCATTACCCAAATCTTTGAAGAGATAATATTTTTTGCAAAAATTTTTTTTTCAATAGTGAAGTTTGGAATTTAAAGCTTGAGCTCAGACTTTTCCATGCTGGATCATGAGTAAAACTTATTCTAAGCACTGCTGTACTGTGCATTTTTACTTCTACAAACTGCTATAACGACTACCAGGAAAACATACGTCAGTTGAATATTTTATTTGAATGATGAAGCAAAGCAAAACTATACCAAAAGGATTTTTAACGACACGCAAAACGTCATTACCAATGGTTCAAGTTGTGATTTCGATTGCAGTAAAATATCTTACAGTTTTCGAAACAGAAGTTAAATTTTACTGTCGTTTTATAGAGGATTGGTGGCTCCTAAAATCTTTGAATATGCTCAGGAAATATTTCCTTTGCACTTATTTTGTAGCATATTTAAATAGCTCTTGCGGAGAGAAATTTTGATTGAAAATGTTGTGCGGAATTTTTTCTTCTAAAAAGGGAGACACTTAGGAGATCAAGGGTGTTTCAAAGTTGACGCGTCTCGGGACGCGCCGACAGGTACGATTTGTCTCTTTATCACATCTGGAAAATTGAGGGAAATTCAACAATTTAGCAAAGCAGCAATTAGCTTGTCTCATGACTCGCCTGCAGCTGCAAGCAATCCCTGTCACAGGGTTATAAACCAAAAACAACTTCCCATATCTGGGCAACTG